CTTCAGCATCGCCAACATGAGCATCACTACCAATCCCCTTCAGCATCGCCAACATCAGCATCAGCCCCCTTCAGCATCGCCTCCATTCAAATCATCAGTCAGTATGAAGTTCCTTTTCTGAATGGTTCCCACTCCGTTCTAGCTGTGATGTCACTCATAGACATCTTGCATGTGCTGAGGCTATTTCTGGTGTTTGGGTTCAGTGATGTGCCTTGATTTGATCTTCCGGATGTTCCTAATGTGTTATTGTTAGCTCTTTTACGTTGTTTTCCTTTGTTTACACTTGAAGTGATGATGAGGGGGTTTTGTTTCGATTGTCACCAGAACAGACCAGGCCTTCCTTGTCTCACAGCTGTGTTTACAAAAATGTCTTCTCCCTGGGTGGCTAAGCGTTGACTTAAATCTCACTTATACTTAGGCATTTGGAGAATCCTGGCTATGGAGGGTCTATGGGATTTTCTTCAGGGTGTCATGGTGAGCGTGCATTGCTGGGCTGAATTGCACCCGTCTCCTCTTCTCTTACCCCCTCCCCATCCACCACAGCTTTTCCTAAGATACAAAGCTTCCTTCCTTAAAGGAGAAGGGCTAGTAACTGCCTTTACGCCCAAATGTTAGACAAGCTCATGTGACTTACAGTTCTGATATGCTGCTGTTTCCTCTCCAGGAACATGACCTTCACTACTCCAATTAACTGAATGCCAGGTCTCCTGGGAAATAGCCCCCCTCCCTTTGGTTTGCAGGCTTACAGAGTTCTACAGAGCAATAATGACAAGTATGTGCCAGCACCCTCTCAGCCCACTCCCATCCATTCAGTCCTATACTGTGCGCCCAGTCTAGGAGGCAGAGTGACCAGTGATGGCATCATCTGGAATCCTTGGGTGCCCAAGCTGAAGGGAAGCGGCCACCAGGCTGGAGAGGGGTGGGGACTTCCTTTCTGTTCTCTTCAGCTGAGGTCCAGGACTAGCTGACAGCTCCCTACTGGAAAGCTCCCCCTCAACCCTCATCTGTACATTCTCCATCCATCCATTCATTCAATCATTCATTTGTTCACTCATCCTTGAATCCCACCCTTCTTCAAGCAGAACTTTCATCAGCATCTCTTCAGTGAAGCCCATTTTCTACTGTAGAAAACTCTCAACAGACAGCATCATCGCTTAGGTGCCCATGAACGGAGAGACAGGAATAAAACTTGGTCTCATCCTAAGAAGCTACCTGACCTCTGCCCTTTTTAAACACAAACCTAACCAAATGTATGAAACAGAACACAAATAAACCTCCTTACTACATTATGCCGCTCGAGCAGGGATGCGACCTGGACTCTGAAGCATCACCCCTTATCATCAAACCAAGGTGGGCAACAGTGACCCTGTCAGTCATAAGCACAGCTGAGGGAGTCCATGCTGGGGAGGCTACAGGCTGGAGTCTGCATTCTGCTCTGCCTGATTAACTATATTATGTCCCAAGAACTCTTTCTGGGGATTTCTCTGCCACTCCCAGAATAGTCATTGGGCATGGAGGTGCTTACAAGACTAGACTGAGCCCTGTGGAAAGATGGTGAAAAGTCAATGGCCACTAGATACCTTTGACCTTCTAGGTCCCTCTCAAGGTGTGCTGGGATGACGGCTGGGAGCTCACATCTATAAGCTCCCTTGCTGGATTTCTGGTGCTCAGCTGGGTCTACACCCTGCTCTCTAGTTCTTCTCAGCCTAGATTTCTATTCAGCATGCATCTGAATCAATTCCTTAGAGCAGTGCTGCCCAGGCTATCTACTCTGGCTTATTTCCTTTTCCTAGCCTACCTCCATCCTAGCCTCCTATCAAGTAGGAGTTGTGTTCAGCTGTGCCTACCAGATCTCAGCAGCATATAAAAGGACTTAATGTTTGAGGTTGTAACGAGGGTCCGATAAAGCTGGCTGCGTACCAGAAGACAAATTTGTTATTGACACTTAGTGCTCTGGACATCAGTGTCCTCATTTGCCAAACAGGCCTAGTCTTCCCTGCTGATCTCTTCCAAACCCAGTTCTCTGAATGTCTCCAGCAGACTTGTAAATGGACACTGGTCTTCCATTTTCTGCACAGATCTGAGCATGCCCAAACCCTGCCTGACAATGTCCTCGCTTTTACACACAAATCTTTCTTTGTTCATACTCTGACAATCTGTCAGTCAGCAACCGCACTGCCCTCTGTAACCCCGCACACAGGTGTATTATAGTTCACGGGCATGTCAAAGCATCCCTAACCCACATCACTTCACCTGTCAGTCCCACACACACATAAGCATTCTAAGCATGCCTCCTCCAAACATCCCTCCTTAGTTCTTAGCAATGCCCTGCCACCACACGCCATGGCTCAGCCTGACTTCATGTGTCTCTGCACTTTTCATGTGTCTTCATGTGTGATTTAGAGACTAGGAGCCCCCTCTCAGGGGCAGGAGTTATGTATCGTTTTTTATATAGACCAAAAGTCAGTACAAAACTACACAAATGTACTCTCAGTAGGTACCCATTGCATGAATAAGTGGGTTAAGTAAACAACACAGGCAGGTATCCTGTGGTAAGGATACCTAGAGCCATACCTACTTCTGGACTCAATCACGTGTTTCTTCACTGGGTGCAGGCCAGACCCATCTGGGCCTACTTTTATGTTGAACCACACCTGCTGCCTGCCACCAACACCTCCCACTACTGCCCTCATATCCCCAAGGCTTCTTTGCTCCCCTGGCAGGATTGAGACTGACTGGCCTCCCCTATCAGAATCTACTCATCCCCCTGTAATAATCAGCAAGCCAGGCTGAGACTTGGCTCCCAGCACTGCCACTCACTCACCAGCCTCAAAGAAAAGCACTTGCTGAACCAGAAGGCTAGCCTCGGAATAAGCCTTCTAGGATCCTGGAGGTCAGACTTCCAGGTCCGGCCAGGGGTCAGTGCCTGTCTGCTGCTGGTGCCCAATGTCCATGCCCCTCCCCCATCACCCTCTAAGTTCCACAGATTCCAGACAAACAATTGGAAACCTCAGCTTGTCTCAGAGGTCAGGTCACTGGCCCTGGGGCACACACATGAGCTGTGGCTCCCTGCCTGGCAGAGGCTATTTTCCTGCCTGATCACTCACTGTTAGTAACCCTTCGGGAGACCTGGCAATACACCAGACTCCATCTCTAATTTTATTATTTTTAATTTAACTTATGAGATATTGTCCTAGTTTGTTTCTCCATTGCTGTGACAAAATATTCTGACCAATACCAACTTGTGAAGGAAAGGGTTTATTTAGCTCACATGTCCCAGGTCACAGTTCATCAGGGAGCTCAAGGTAGGAACTCAGGGCAGGAACCTGGAGGAAGCTGGAGCACAGACCATGGAGGAACACTGCTTACTGGCTTGCTCCTCTGGCCCCTGCTCAGCCTGCTTTCTTATACAACACAGGCCCACCTGCTCAGGGGTGGCACCACCCACAGTGGGTTAACCCTAACCCTAACCCTAACCCTCCCACATCACTCAACAGTCAAGACGATGCCCCACAGACATGGCCACAGGCCAGTCCAATGAAGGAAATTCCCCAACTGAGGTTCCCTCAACCCAGGTGTGTCAAGTTGACACTAAAGCTATCCAGCACAGATATTTTATATTTAAAAAAATAAAATCACTTTATCGTAATGAACTCCCAACATCACACAGCTAGATTAAGGTAGCCACTAAGAACACGTGCCCCATCTCAAACTCTCCACATCTCAATGAGCTTCTAGACAGTTACAATAATCAGGCTCTAAAGTTAGAGCTTTGGAAGCTCTGGGTAGTTGCTGGGCTCTGCTGACCATGAAAGAGAGACAGGGCTCCCTTTGGTCCCCGAGTCTTCTCCACGGCTGTCTACGGAAGGAAAAGGCAAACGGGGGCTTGGAGGACCAGCCTTCCCGGGTGGGGGATGTTTGGTAACAGATCCCTCTGCAATGGTGCCCACCCTCTGCCTTTCCACCGACCGTGCCTGAGCCTGGCACACTGCTCGTCTCTGCCCACCGCACTTTCTCCTGCTGGAGCTGGTGGCAGGCAGCACCGGCCTTGGTCGGGGAAATAGCCACCCAGGGAAGCAGGGACACTCACTCTCACACAGGCGCCGTCTCAGCTTGCCACGGATCTTGTCGATCGCGTTGAAGTCTGATACATGGAACACATGAGCGGCCTTGGGCTCCGAAGCGATCTCATCCAGCTCCTCCCTCAGTGCTGCGCCCACTCCCACGGCGAAAATGCGGATGCCAGCTGCGTGGGCAGCTGCTGCGGCGTCCAGCACCAGGTCCTGGCTTCGGCCATCAGTCAGCAGGATGGCTACCTGCTTGAAGGCACGGTTCCCAGGCCGGCCTCCCGCCTGCACAGAGAAGCTGCGGCTGGTGATGTAGCGGAGGGCATCACCGGTGTTGGTATTGCCCCCGTAGTAGGTGATGCGCCTGGCTGCTGCCTTCACTGCCTCCCGGGAGTCAAAGTGGCCTAGTTCAAAGGCCGTAGTGGGCCGGTCACTGTAGCGCACGACCCCCACACGGGTGTGGTCAGGGCCAACTTCAAAGGTGTCCACCAGGTTGGCCACCCACCGGCGAACCTTCTCAAAGTCCTCCTTGCCCACACTGGAGGAGGTGTCCAGAAGGAAGACCAGGTCATAGTGCACACTTTTGCAGCCTGCATGGGCATGAGAGAGGGTGAGCAGGGTGAACGGGTGGTGGAAAGGAAGGGCATGTCTTTGCGCATGCCAGATCCAGTGTGTCACCTGCTCAGCTCAGATCCTACCTGCCCTGCCTCTCAGACCCTGCAAGGGCTACATAGAAAAACATATTGACCCTTTCTGGAATCATTGTGAGAACCAACTGAGGACATGTGACATATGATATGGCTCATTAATTTGAGCCATGGACCGCCCCTAAGTGTCAAGCTCTTTACTTCTAGAACTTGTGTGTTTCTGAGTATGCATGTATGTCACATGTATGTGTACATGCATGTGCATGCAGAGGCCAGAGGGGGACTTTGAGTGTCCTCCTTTATATAGCTCCCTCTTAGTCCCGTGGTGTGATGGTTTGAATGAGAGTGTCCCCCGTGGGCTTGAAGTTTTGGGACATTTTGTCCCCAGTGGTGGCTCTGTTTTGGGAGGTCCTAGAAGGTGTGGCCATGCTGGAGGAAGCACGTCACTGGGGGCAGGCTTAGAGAGTTCTTAAGTCTTGCTGGATGTCCAATTGCTTCCTACTTCCTGTGCCTGCATGAAAATGTGAGAGCTTAGCTTCCGCTCCTCCAGACACCTCTGCCACCATGCCTCCACACCATGATGGATTCTTGCCCCTTTGGAACCGTAAGTTAAATCAACTCTCTCCTACTTCCTGTGCCTGCATGAAAATGTGAGAGCTTAGCTTCCGCTCCTCCTCCAGACACCTCTGCCACCACGCCTTCCCACCATGATGGATTCTTGCCCCTTTGGAACCGTAAGTTAAATCAACTCTTCCTTTTATAAGTTCCCTTGGTCATAGTGTTTCTATCACAGCAACAGAAAAGTGACTAATACCCTTGGGCCAGGTCTCATTGAACCTGGAACTGACTATTTTCCAACTAGACTCCCTAGAGCCCCAGCAATCCTTCTTCCCACCACCCCCAGTGTGGGGGCTACAGGTTCATGCTTGGCCATGCCTGACTTTTACACAGATGCTGGGATCTGGGTTCAGCTCCTCATGCTGACACAGCAAGTGCTCCTACCCACTGAGCTGTCTCTCCAGCCCCTGTTAGTACTTATTATAAAACTGCTGCAACTAATGGAGTCCCATTTCAGAAAAAGTTATCAAATCATGCTTAAGATGGAAAAACACTGTTAAGCAATAGTGTGTCCTTAGTTATTTTGTATTTCCCTACAGTCATTGATAGAAATGGGAATATGCCAGGCCCAGTGGTATATGAAATAGATTTCCCATGCCCAGCTGCATGCTGGGAGTGTTTCCAGCCTGATCTTGGGGCTTTCCACAGCTTGCAGAGTCCACTGTATGGGGGAACACAATCGATTTAACCCTAGGATTTCTGGTTGGATAGTTAAATAATTTGCAATCGTTCATTATTAGAAAGTATATAAAATATATAACATTTTTGTATTTTAAACATATTTATAGAAGTTTGGTAATATTTTATGTACATATACATATATTTTATAAAGTTTATATAAACTAAATGATGCTTTCAATTAAGTAAAATAAAGGATTAATATAATTTTCTCCTCCATACAGCAGTCTTGTATATGGGTTTACTACTCCATTTCACAACTAGATCATTTGAGGGGAAAAAAACCTTTTCTAAGCCCAAGTGGTGGGCAAGTTAGGGTACGTGTGACATGCAGACAGAGCTCTGCAGCTGGCCTCATGGCAGGCACCTGCTACCCCCAGGCCACCATCACCCACCCTGGGACAGAAGGGCCTTTTCTCCTGATTCTCCTGTTCATTGGGGGTTGACCTGAGGGAGGCAGAAGTCCCATGCTCCTCACTGTGAAGCTAGATGTCCACAATAATTATTATCTTTTCTGCCAGTGGGGCTCTGAGAGACTCAGACAAAATAAAATACAGGAAAGAACTTGGTAAAGTCAATAAAAAAGAGCTTTAGAGCTTTATATTTTGAGGGCCAGGGGGTAAAGCTTTAATACTTTCTGCTTAGGGCCACCCTTCCTCAGTTCCTCATCTGTACAAAGAACAACATTTTATGTCCTGGATCCGATGACAGGCACTTGCTGCCACCCAATGATCAGTCCCCACCTGCCTGTCACTTATCAGCAAAGGCATATGCCAGCTCTGTGTTCTGGACACAGACAGACTGGGGTGTTCCTGTCAGCACTGACCAAAGCCTTCTCCATGACATGGGCCCCACACAGCATGGCAGTTAGCCATCCATCACAGCTCTGCCCCTTCTGTCCCCAGGCCCTCCCATCTGTAGTGACCATGGCTAGTCTTTGATCCACTGCACAAGCATGTCCTCCTCCTGTCCTGGACATCCCCGGCTGGACTCCCACATGTGGATGCCCCTCTATGCTCACGAGGCTTCCTAGGATGGAACAACACAACAGGGCCCAATCCTGCCTGTCCATCAGTCCCAACCCCTGCATACACTTGCTAGAGTTGGGTTCACAGCATCGCATGGTGGCTCCTTCTCTCCCCCTCTGACATCATCTCCTCACACACCCATTTGTACATACACATCCACAGGCACTCCACACTCTAACACCAGCACATACATACCACCACAGCTTCATGTTCTCACATGTTCACCGACTCATACTCACACACACACACCCTCTCATACTTACACACACTCACACACACCCTCTCTCACACACACCCTCCCTCTTGCACCCTCTTTCTCACACATCCCTACTCTCTCACACACACACTCACACACACACTCACACACACCCTCTCACACACACTCACACACACCCTCTCTCACACACACCCTCTCTCTTGCACCCTCTCTCTCACACATCCCTACTCTCTCACACACACACTGCCACACACACTCACACACACCCTCTCACACACACATACTCATATATACCCCCTCACACACACATACTCTCAGACACACACACATTCCTTGTCTCACACACACTCTCTCTCTCACACACACTCACACACACACCCTCTCTCTCACATACCGTCTCACATACATACCCTCTCATCCATACTTCCCCCACTCTCTCTCTTGTACATCCGCCTCTCACATACACATACTCTCAGACACACTCTCTTTCTCACACTCTCTCACACACAGTCTTACACACACCCCTCTCTCACACTTCCTCTCTCATACCTACCTTCTCTCTCACACACACACCCCTCTCACACATACACTCTCTGTCACATACACACACACACACACACACACACACACACACATGCTCTAATGCACACATTCTCCCACATGCTCCTCTCACACACCCTCTCTCTCATACCTACCCTCTCTCTCTCACACACACACCCTCACACATACACTCTGTCACACACACACACACACACTGTAATGTACACGCTCTCTCACATGCTCTCTCTCACACACCCTCTCTCTCACACACACATATTCTCTTTCTCACCTCCCACATGCTCCTCTCACACACCCTCTCTCTCATACCTACCCTCTCTCTCACACACACAGCCCCTCACACATACACTCTGTCACACACACACACACACACACACACACTGTAATGTACACGCTCTCCCACATGCTCTCTCTCACACACCCTCTCTCTCACACACATATATTCTCTTTCTCATACACTCTCACACACCCACTCACACTCATCCTCCTTTGTGCACAGGCCCAGGCAGTATTTCAGAGTCTCACAGTCTATAACACTCTGTCATGCTCTGTCACACATCACTTTGTTCTCACAGGCCCTATTTGAACAGATGTTCTTGCACACACATGGACTGGAAGACCACTGATACACACATTGCTGGATTGCTGACACACTTGTACCATGGTCACACTCCTCCACAGGCCCACGCCCTCACTGACACATGCACAGGCTGAATTTTCCACCTCTAGCTTCATGCCCCACCTGCACGCTGGGCCTGGCAGCAGCTGTCCTTTCCCCAGAGCAGCAGCATCCACAGGAGCCAGGCCACCTTGCTCCCTCTGGGGGCTGCCATGGCTCTGCTGTTCTTGGGGACAACCAAGTCTTGTCCAGGAAGAGACGTTGTCAGCATGTACGCATTTCCTGTGTGGAGAAGACACACCCTGAGAAACGCTCTGGAGTTGAAGGGTCAGAAGTAGGAGGAATCCTATATCCATCCCATCTCCAGCCCTCGGCTCCCCCTCTCTACGCAGCCAACACTGTGGTCTTGTGAAGAGCAATGTGGCCAGCCGCCTCCCTGGTCCACCACCCATCTCTCCATCTACCCAGCTGACACCTGTGTTCTACAGACCAGCTGGCCCTGGTAAGGAAGGTGCAGCTGAGTGACCCACTGCTCTGTCTTTCTAGAGCTCTTCATTAGCACCACCCCAGTTCCCTAATTAACATGACTCACAGACGACCTTGATCTTCCAGTCCCGCGGGCTGAAGTTGGTAGCTCTGGACTTGAGCAGTTTCCCACCAATACCAGGTTTGCAGCCCACTCTGCCTTCTGGGAAAGGTGAACTCTGCCTGAACTCCCCTCTTTCCATATCCTGTGTACCTTCTGCAGAGTTTATAACCGGAGGAACTTCTCCTCATGCCCTTGGCCTCCAGTCCTCTACCTCGCTGGGAAATCAGTGCTGAGCTGAAGCTGGCCATACCCCTTCTGGAGCTTTAAGCACGTTTTTTTCCCATAGGGTCTGACACTGAGCCACAGTGCAACCATCTGCCTTCAGTGAGTCTGCCCCCCTGCCCCCCGTGTCCAGGGGGCTCCTCCTCAAGGGCGGGGCTGGCCCTAGGAGATTCTGTAGCACTGGTGACCAGCACAAAACCCAGCAGGTGCTCAGGTAATGCTCATGACTGAAGGGAAAGAAGAGAAGAAAAGCAAGGGAGAGAAAGGAGAGGGGGTTGGCAGCTGCCCCAGGAACTGGCTGAGCTCAGAGGTTCTGTTCTGCGGGCCTGGGGGCAGGATCATCTACACCACTCTCTCTGGACACAGCGACACCCAAACCTAACCTTTAGTTCACTAGCAGTAGGATTACCTAAGAGCCTGCTAGTAACAGTAGGTGCACCAAGGGCCGGAGATAAGTTTTCCACTGTTCACTCTACTGTAAATAGTTTATTTATTATTTTTTAAATGTTATGTATATGAGCATATTGCCTGCATGTATATAAGTACACTCCCACACTCGTGTCATGCAATAGCTGTGGACATAAGAAGAGGGCGTCAGATCCCCTGGAACTGAAGTTACACAAAGTTGTAAGCCACCATGTGGGTGCTGGGAATTGAACCCAGGTCCTCTGCAAGAGCAGCAAGTGCTCTTAACTGCTGAGCCATCTCTCCAGGCCCTGTTCAATCTATTTTAATCCTAAGGATCAGGGTCTGTACTAGAACCACAACGTCCCTCCACTGTTCAGGTCAAAAGGCCAGAGCATGGAGAGGTGACCGTCTCACAGATGTCAGTGGTGGTGCTTGGAGCCGTACACTGCGAGGTCAGAGGTCATGCCAAAGCCACCTTCTTTCACTCTCCATGGAAACAGGGTCTCTTGTTGAACCTGGAGTTTGCTGGTTTTAGCTAGATCAACTCCCAAGATGTGTCTGTCTCCACCCCTGGCCTTTCCGTGCCAGTGTTACAGACAAGTGCCACTGTGCCTAGCTTTTATGTGAATTCTGGGGATGGTCCTTATGATTGTACAGCAAGTAGTTCACACACTGAGCCATCTCCGCAGCCTATATACATCCAAAGCCAAGGCCTGGACAGAGGAAAGAATATAGATTTTTGCATTGATTTGTTCATTTAATAAATAGTCACTATTTACTCTCATATGCCAGGTGCATAGGACAGGCAGATAAAGGAAACTAAACCCACTGTGAATGGGTCCTTACTGACTCCTGGGCATGGATAAGATGCAGTGCATGCCTGAGCAAGTCGGACTCGAGTGAACACAGGAGGACAAACAAGCGGTTATGGGGTACAGGCAGTGGATGGTGGCGGGGAAAGTCAGGCTCCCCTGGCTTCTTCCAAGTAGATTTAGAAAGCTGAGCAGGAGCTAAAAAGACACAAGATGACAGGTGGCAACTTCAAACAGAACACAGGAGGACAAACAAGCGGTTATGGGGTACAGGCAGTGGATGGTGGCAGGGAAAGTCAGGCTCCCCGGGCTTCTTCCAAGTAGATTTAGAAAGCTGAGCAGGAGCTAAACAGACACAAGATGACAGGTGGCAACTTCAAACC